GGTTGACTTCACCAGGAAAAAACAGTTAAGTTCTTGAGATGTGTGAAAGGACATAATGAAGACATTTATAGTTTCTCCTATTTTTTACATATTAATGTAATCCTAGCCAAGGTTAATGCATACTCCACTCTAATTCCTCATTTCTATTTGAGAGCTAGCTTTTTTTTCATTTATAGTCATAAAATTTGAAAATTGTTTCTGCTTAATTATTTCTAAGGATTCTGGTTATAAAAAGGTAGTTTTTCATTTCTACCCTGAATCAAAATTATCTCAACAAAGTTATTGCAATGAATCGAAATTATATTAAACTAATCTGAACATTTTCCCTGCTTGAATGTATGCATCTTCCAAAGCAAATTTGGCGGGGAAAACATCTATTTTTCCCGCCAAATTTTACGTTTCCATAAAATTATGTCAATTAAATTTAACAAAACTTTAAAGTAGAACGATCTCCGTATTACACGATATATCAATTTGTTAGTCATTTCAATGAAATGCACACATGCACACGTGATTGAAACACTGACCTAAACAGACAAATAAAACGCCCTTCCTCTTACAGCTGTCCGCCATTTTGTTTTCTTAAGTCTGTTAACAAGCGAAATTAAAGTTTATAGAAATATTTTTAAAAGTGAAGTTGTACTTGTATTAATACGAGTAATGAATTTATAAATATTAATAAGTATTAATTACAAATAAAAATTTTATATTTAGTTATATTTATCGTTGCGGTCACATGATAAGCTGAAACTTTTCGATGATTCGTCGGAGATCGCTTCTTACAATTTAGTTTTTTTTTTTTTTTTTTAAATAAAATGTACGGAATTTCTAACTTTGCACGCGCGAGAAAAATTATTTTCACGAATTTGCAGTTGCATAATTATTATGACATATTACTGACTTCCTACTTTAGTCACGATTGTGTTTATTTTAATCGTGACATATGCCGATTAATTAACCTATTTTATTTTTCCTCATCCTAATATTATGCATTTATTTTTTCACTATTGTTTTCTTACGAAAGATTCAGTTCTTTCGATAACGCGACCTTTCTTTTTAGTGAATCTAATCTCTGTAAAGGATTTAGAACGAGCTTGCAGTTTTGAAAATATATAATTTTCAAAACTGCAGGCTCGAAAAGCATTTATCGCAAGTCAAAATTATATAAATGACCTATAAATTATAAAATAATATTTAATTGTAAATTAAAATACTTTATACATCTTAATATTGAATTATACTTGGACTCCAAGAGCGTTTTTTTTTTTGTGACATATTTAATTGTGAATTTAATTGTGACATAAAATTTTATTTTTAGATATTAGCGAGGTTGCGGCCGAAGCTTTCATCTCTGAAACGTCAACGTCGAACGTCGAGCGTTTCTTACAAGATAGCGGCGCTCGACGTTCGACGTTGACGTTTCAGAGATGGAAGCTTCGGCCGCAACCTCGCTATTACGAACGAAGTAATTAAATCGTAATAATAATTATTGCAAATTTTAATTGTTTTTAATTAAATTATAATATTAATTAACAAAATTTTGAAANCTATCCGGCCCGCGCGACATTATTCCTAATCTGACGAGTAAAAAAGAATACAGGCTGTGGTGGTTGATGCACCACTTAACTTGAGTGTTCGTTGATTATATAAAATAACCGAAGCTTTATATCTCACCATGAAAGTTTATTTACAATCATGTACAAAATTTTGTTTTACACTTATTGAGTAAAAGCTCGATCGGTTACAAGCATGCTTCGGTACAGAACATCCACTCGTCGTGCGTAGCGTAGCCGAAAGAGAGAAAAAGAAATATGGCGGACGGCCTGCACATGTTTTTATAGCGCCACCTGGATTTTCAGATGCAGCGCTAGGTTACAATTATATTGGCCCGCCTAAAGTTTTCTTCTTTTCCTTTGGCCCGCTCTTTAAAAGTTTGCCCATCACTGTTCTAAGATAATAAAGATTTGACCAATGGACAAAAAAACACAACAATAATTGTTTTACATAAAAATAAAAATGTATAATATATGTATAATAAATGTATAATTTTTCATTTTTATTTTTATTTAAAAAATCGTTTTAAAGCTAAAGACTGAACTTTTTCATGAGTTTTGTTAGTTTCAAAATAAAATATTTAAAAATTATTATATTAATAAGTAATACAAAAGATGATAACTAATAAGTTTTTATTTTTTATACTCTAAATACAATATCTAAATTCAAAATTTAATCAAGCTATTTACTTCTAAAAATAACTTCAATTTATTAATTAATTTCTTACATATTAAATTTAACATTTTTATCTTTCTATAAACTTTAAACATGAAAAAAAAAGGTAATAACTTATATGAAAAAAATATTTATCATTGTTATCACATTTATTTTAATTTATTATAATAAAACTTAAATAATAATGTGATAAATACTAAAAATTTTAATATATGGTTAATATATATATATATATATATATATATATATTATTTTGTCTGAAATATAATATAATATATTATATTATATATTTGTAACAAGTGTTTTCACGGCAATGAATTATTATGAATAGTAACTATTCAGTTAATGTAAAACTTATATAACTTCATATTAAGAGTAATTCTAAGTTTTATACGGGAAAAAAATTAGACTAATCAGTTTGTTTGCGAAATTTAGTTTGTTATCATTTTGATATTGTATAGCTAATATCTGAGTTAAATTTATAAGGTCAATTATACACATTATCTATACTTTCTTCCTCGTTACTCAAGATGACGATTTTGATTTGACAGAAAAACTAGATTAAAATTTTTATTTAAATATAAAACGTTTGCTGACGTTTTATAATTAAAAGTTATAGAGTCAAGTTAAATTTGGTATATACTGTAGTATGTTGAGAATATAATAATTGTGAAATAAATTTTCTAAATTGAAAATAAACAAATGCTTAAAAAATGTTTTAAGAGTGGTTAGTAGGATACGATTTATTCATTATTTATTTATTTATTTATTTATCGATAACTATTCAGCTAACGTGTAAAATACAAGTTACTGTATAACTTTATGTTAAAAGTTAAGTTTGTTTCTTACGAAACCACAAAATATTAAAACAAAATCATAGAAAATATTAAGTATTATCATTTTAACATTATACTTAGAGTGAATAAAATATGGAAGATATTCTTATTATATATAAAAAGTAATGTATTTAATTTATAATGCCACAATCCTAAAAGTGTTTTACAAAATTCAAGTATCTTCTATTAAACGTTTTAAATTTTCACAAATTTTTGAAAAAAAAAATATAAACTGATGCATTCTTTTTATGCCTTTAGATAATAGAAACTACAGATTGGCAATCATGTTACAGAAATTCTTCTTTATAATATACCATCAATCTGAATTAGCCTAGTTATTCTTTATTGAATCATCATCGATTCGATGATATGATTACTTTTGGAATTAATAAAAACTAGATAATGCTAAATGATCATTGTATAAACAATTACTACAATGAAGTAACAGAATTATTTTTAAACAACTCTATTATTTCTTAGAGTACATTCAGAACAACGTAGTTTAGTCTGATCAAACGTTACATCTTCCTTAAAAGGATAAATAATCGTTCCACAATTTCATCCCACATGATCGTCTCTGGTTTAGACATTAAAAACAAATTAAATCTATCTTTGCTCGGAAACTAATCCCATTTATCTAATAACATGTATAATATTTGAGTGTGGGAGTTCCAGATGCGCAGACAATCCAGCCGTGTTTTCACTCCACCCTTACCTTACAACTATTTACACCTGGCTTTTATAGCTGGACGCACCCTGTATATAATGATGAAAGAACCAATGATACTTAACATCGTAGCCATTCTGTTCGAGTTTTCACTGTATACTTCAGTGACAGGAGCATGGGAAAGGTCAGATCAGAATACGTGACCTTAACATTTTATCTTCCTCATTACCTATCTGTCGGAACTTTAACCACCGTTTAAACCAATTGGGGATAACACACACTTTAAAAAAAGACAGCTTTTTTTCAATAATAAAAAAAATTCTCTATTTTTGCTCGTGTTAGAAACCGGATGAAAGTAACCACGGACTAAAAAGCGATATAGCGAATTTATATAGTTACTTATAAATTTAAATGAGACGAGATACGAAATAAAAAGTGTTGCTTTAATCAACGCAGCTAGCAAGTAATTAGTTGTCTTATCCTGTATTGTCATGTAGTGTTATCCATCATACTTCTGCACCGTCCTTGATTTGCGAATTTTCCTTATGATTGGTTTTCTGTTCACATAATACCCTCCAATGTGTGTCCAATAGATAAGCTTAGTCTTGCGATGATTGATACGTTAGAAAATGAATCCACCCGTGCATTGTACAGATTAAATCTACCCCGAGCTGTTTTTTATACTTAAAATTTTTTTTCTGATATCTAAAATTCGTTTTAAAATGTATCAGATTGTTACTAAACTCAAACCGTATCACTATTTTGCAGCTGTTAAAGATTTTATTAACGAATACGGCTTTTTTTTCACTCAAATAAAATCGGTATTCGCAACGTGACGCGTTACCGTACATACATATATATATATTTTTTTTTGCTTTTCCTTTAAAAGTATCAAGTTCGAAATCCCTTTGCCATACTTAAATATTCTTTAGCTAATTAATTATCTTTTCTTATAGTTTATCATTAAAAATTTCGTAAAAACAGATTTCCGAACGTAAAAAAAAAAGAAAAAAAAAACTCTCGTCCTTGAACTTTTACCAACGTCGAGAACCCGTTACGATGGAAGCGCCATCTGTCCACTGCAACACAAATTTCTAAAAATTGTAGATGAATAATAATTAAAACTTATGAAAAAGTTAAAATTATTCTTTTGAAAATATATAATAAATTTTAAAAAATCTTAATAACGATAAGAAATGAAAGATAGAGACGTTGAAAAGAAGGATTGCGTTAAAAATCTGTGGGCCCAGACAGGTGACCGTCGTCACTGGCAACGAGGCCACATTTGACCCAAGGCAAGACGGGAAGTCTGTGCTGCTGGAGATGCAGTCGACAGGAATTTGGACTTCAGATTCTCCCATGACATCGACAATGGAGTTATCGAATCGTCAGACATCCACAACGACATTATTATTATGGGCATTTCAAGATCTATCGAATAATAATAGTTACTCGTTAGCATTATACAGACAATTATGGAACAGATTGAGAAAACAGAAAGGTGAGTCTGATTTAAAGTGTTGCCAAATAGAATCACACATTTATTTATTTTTCTTAAATTAAACTCCCGCGAAACACATTGCATTACTTCACATTACCGGAGCAATTATGTTTTTAATTGCTAAGTATACGGCGAATGTGGAATATTTTGCATCCGGACGCGTTAAAGGGGTTGACTACGCGCGTGCTTCATTAATTACTATAAAATATATACATTTTTTCGGATTTAATTTGGTTATGGAATGGAGCGCATCATTACATCTGATAGCGATAGAAATTTTTTGATACAAAACAGGCACTAATTTCCAAACGGGATCCGTTTTTTCTCTCTTTTTTTTTCCTCCTCTGTTATGATGGATCACAGTAGGATTACGGTCTGAACGGTCACATTTCAATTAATACCCTGAAGCAGTACAAATACTGTACATAGTGAACAAAATGAATTAAATTATTCTAGATCAGAAGAAATACATTCGCTGAACTATTATTAAGAGATGATGTTTGTCTGTACACTATAATATGATATGCTAATACTCTTGTGATTATAATGTCCTCGTCTCTTTAGGGTATGTCTATGTCTGTTATAACGGAGACACTGAAAAATTCATTCGTACGATTCGTCCCGAAAAATATTTGTTAAATTATATACCGTATATCTTTTACTAATAACGAAATAAACACCTATTTTCAGTCAATGTGGTGGAAGCGTTGCAAGAATTTTGGCAGATGAAATTGGCCAGGGGTGCGGAACTGAAAAACGGTGCTCTTGTCATATACGAATCCGTACCATCGTCTAGTCCTCCATATGTCTGTTATGTAACCCTTCCAGGTGGCAGTTGCTTTGGATGTTTACAGGTAGGTCTGTTCATTTAATTTTAATGAAAATATATTATATCCATAAATATCGAATCATATACACGAATTATAAAAGTAACTTTTTAATAAATTAGTAACGGGTGCATATACATTTAAAAATTAATTAGTTTAAATGGCGTAGGCTTTTATCTCCGGCATTTTCGATCCCATTCACTTCCAAATTGAGAGATAACACTTTAGACATCGAGATACGATTGATGTGTGGGTTTTAGGTCATTTCTGTCTTCTAAGAAGTCGTTTCCGCTTGATCTAAGAGAAAAGGGAGGGGTAGGATGCTCCATAAACTAACAACTGCACTGATTTCTCTTTAGACGTGACTGCACAGACAATGAGTGCCCCTTTCAGAGGTCACACAACACCCGAGGCATCTGTCGTTTGTTTAAATTCTTCTATCTTTTGAATTTTCCGTATATGTTTATCGATCCTTAATGTTTTGATCGGGTGAAATATATTTCGATTTACTCAACCGATTTGTTTTTCTATTTCTGTCGAATTTTTCAGTCGAACAGTAGTTTAAAGAGTGGATTAGGGATCTATTGTCCCGTTCACCTTTCCCACGTTAAAACCCCCACCCTCTCAAGCCCTACGGGTTGACTGTGTCCGTTCTCACGCAAAACCTGCCACTCCTATATTTAACTTTTGTATCAGTTTCTTCGAGTTCGAGGTGCGAAATTTTGAGGGGGAAAAGTAAAAATAAAAAGCTCATCTAAAGGAATCTACGAAAGCCTAACTCATTTGCTAATTTCTTCTCTCTGTTGAACTTTGCATTCTAATTGTATTTCTGATTAAAATAACAGTAAAGAAGAGATCGTGTAATTACTATAAATCATGATTTCTTTTTTAAATTAATCTTCGTTTCGATATAGAAAAACTGGTTTGTCGAAGTATTTCCCATCCTCTTTCCAGGTAGGCGAAAAAGTATAGCACAGGTGGACGGATTTATACTGCGGATAGTCACTACAGGTTAGTTCTATCGTAACAGGTCCATCCGGTTTTTACCGGCTAGACACGTTGTCTCAATAAGAAGTTAGTACAAAAGCAAACCCCACTTTCACCCCCTCGTGTTTTACGAATCGTTTCATCATCCTAAAAAAGTTCGAGCCACCGATCTTTTGTCAGAGCCGTAACCGTTTTCACTTGTACAAGAAAAAATGGGCCCCAATCAGACCGTTTACCAAACTTTATAGAGGTTTCCAATTTAGCTAAGTCCGCTTTCATTGGCGACCTTTAAAAATGGAGCTGTTGGGAGTGCAGTTAGATACAGAATCAATAGGCAATAGATAGAACTTGTTAATTTCGAGGGGTGGGATGAGTAAAATCTTTCAAACGAAGGGAGGAGTAAAGGCAGTTGAAGGGTAATGGGTAGCTCAATGAAGGTAATGCACGTTAAGGGGTTTAATGTTTAACGCTAGAGGGAAGGGCTTGCCGACACCAACTATGGAAAGAGAAAAGAGAAGGTTTTTCTTGCGAAGTTGATGTAAATAATTGGTCGTGGAAGATTTATTACATAATATATCAACCACTAACCCGTAATTAGACTGATGCCTGTGCGTGCCAGTCAATGCAATTGATGTATTGCCATAGCGAGGTAGGCAGGAAGACGTGAATTCGACCTGTTTTGATACGATATTCCCGTACTCACCGTACATAACGATGACAATTTTCATCGTCTCTGGAAATAGTTGATGTCAAACGGTCCTTTGCCTCTTTCTCATTTGCATAAACAAATAGTTTACATGTGGCAAACGTTTCTCGATTTTTTTTCCTATTCGAAGATGTTAACTATTACCTTGTACATCTTAACTGTCGTTTCGATAATTATTAATTAATATTTATATAATTTAAATACAGAATTGCCCAACTAAGGCCGAAGCGAGAAGAAGTGCTGCTAAGATTGCTCTGATGAATTCGATATTTAATGAGCATCCATCTAGGAAAATCTCCGATGATGTAATAGAAAAGGCGATCGCAGAGGCACACGCATCATTTACTGTAAGTATATTTATATCACTCGTACACCCCTTCTTCGATTAATATTAACGACGATGATTTTATCAGGGAGTAGGCAGCGGCACCGATAGTGGCATAGATGCGTTCAGATTCATGTTAGAAGCCAATAAGGGGAGAACCATGTTGGAATTCCAAGAGTTAATGACGGTGTTTCAGTTGCTGCACTGGAACGGCAGTTTGAAGGCGATGAGAGAACGACAATGCTCTAGACAAGAGGTTATTGCTCATTATTCTCAACGCGCACTCGACGATGATATGAGATCTCAGATGGCTTTGGACTGGATCGCCAGGGAACAAGAAACTCCGGGCATCATTGGAAGAGAATTACTAAATTCGGAACATGAGTTAGAAATGGCTCGCCTGGCGGGGAAAGAACTTAGGTTTCCTAAAGAAAAAAGGGACATTTTAATGTTGGCTTGTAATCAAGTTACGACAATTAATGGCTTGAGTTAATTAATTTGGTTTCTGTACAGAATGTTATATAATTGGTCGAGTTTTTTTTTTTCATTTTTTTAATCAAACAGTCCCGAGTTTGTGATTCACCAGTTGATTTCTGGTGCTGCTTCGCTGATACGTTTTTAGTCATGTGATAAGTTTATCCTTCACGCTTTATTGTTTAGGTAGCATTTACTTCCGCGAAATACATGTTTATTTATACGCGCTTTTGTTTATATAAAATTCTCATTTTATGTATCCAGTTTGGTATGTCCCCTTTCGAAAGTTTGAAGTGTCTTTTTTTGGCTTTGCGAAAGCTTGTTTTCAATCGTCCAGAAGCAGATTTTTTTTGTGAATTTGTCTTAATTGGTCAAATAAATTTTGATAATGATTTTTTTAATGCTGTTAATATTATTATGTTTTTTAATAGCCGAAAATATTTAAATATTCGCTATTCTTATGAAAATTTCATTTTTCTAATAAAAAATGATAATTTTTGGAATTCAGGTAAATACTTAGATACTTGGATAATTTTCTCTATATAAAAATATGATTTTCTAACCTAACATACTACTTTTTTTTTTTAAACCGTAAAATGGCCTTTTTATGAAATTTAATTTGTATATATTAATTATAGCTAAATCTTTAAAAAAATTACGGCGGTTTATTTAATAAAAATATAAATCTGTACACATATTTAAAAATCTAGAATGAAATAAAAAAAAATTCAAAACTGAATACATCACTACACATAAATATTCAATATTTTGCATAAAATTATTTTTAATTTTCGATGTGAAGAATATTCAATTACAATCCAGATCGGAGATAATAACCACAAGTAAAACGTTTGGCACGCAGTTTTCACAAATAAATTCGTTATTAGTGTCGTGACTAGCATTTCTGAAGTAAAAAGGAAGCTGTGTTACATAAAAACAACAGTTTCTTTCCCTGAATTTGTTTATAGGAGTTAAAGAATTTTAAAACCGAACTAAACGCCAAGGTCTGTGACTATGACACAAATTTATTACAGTCATTAGACAATAATATAGGGTAGATGATGATGATGCTATTCCCAAGTGTTGCTCAGAGGCAAAACAATAAAATTGTCATTTACATAACGCTATGATAATATCACGGACATACAACAAACCAGTTATTCTGGTCATTAAGAGTGATGATGATCACATTGGCCACTATCTTTTTAACTTGCCAATCTAAATAGACAACTTTTGGCGTAGCATCTACTTTACTTTATTCTGTAAATAATCTGGACAAGTAAACGATACAAATTGCATTTTTATTTATTTATATGTATTTTTTTATATTCTAAGAATTATTATTTTCAAATAATATATTCGATGACTAGACAATTTTGTTAAAACTTAAATCTATAAAGACACATCAAGAGTCAATATAGTAAATGTTATAGCCATCTTAATTTGTATTTTAATGATGAGGATTTTTCAAATTTATATATATATGTATATGTAAAATACTTTATACAGATTATTCTTTATAAACGAATCAAAATAATGGTCAGAGTAATGATATGAATCTTTAAATTATACAAATGTTTTTAAAGATACAGTATTGCCCTTTAAAATATATGCTTTATACGTGATGATTAACATTATCATTAAGTAGAACGATTGATATTAATAAGGATAGAATTCTCGACGATTAATTAATATAATTTCTGAGCTGTTAGATCAAAACAATCTACTTAAAATTTATATAAAGTTAGAAAATTTGCAACAAACCATCTTTCAAAGCTTACTAAAAATGTACCTTAAGATATAATTATAAAAAACTGCTTAAAGTTTAATAAAATTAGATTCATCTAAGGTTAAATGAATCTAAACGAAATTTTGTTTTGAAAAAGTATTAATTTTAATTAATTATTTTGATTAACAATCTTATATTTGACTAATAATTAATTCAGTCAAAATAATCATATGTATTATTTATAGACACTAATGAAATAACAGTAAATTCAGTTTTACACTAGTTTAGTGGTCAATGAATTCTCATGCATTGAGGTCACTATTTTAGAACAGAATGGAGTGAAAGATAAGAAACAATGTTACGCCCCCAATTCTTGCGTGAAGTCAGATTGAAAGAATTTTTTGATGTATAATCTACTTTATCTTAGAAAAAAAAATTAATTCACAAAGTTTTCATGAATTTTTGAAGAATTAAACACGACACCACGATAGCCATTATTTATAAATATTATTTTCTGTCTCTGATATACAATATATTAAGTACAGTAGAGCATCGATTATCCGACTCCCGATCAACCGTCACATTGGTTAACCGACCGCGTTCTAAGTCGGCAAATTCAAATGTCCGCTAGTGATGTGTCGCTACAGTATTTGGCTAGTTTAATATTATTTTTGTTAAATTTTTGGTGTTTTAGCTGGCAACATTAGCTCGACCATGAAAGGGATGCCAGTATTTAAACGAGGCTTAATTTTCTAATTATCAGTGGTTGTTTGTTTTGTGAGCAATAAAATAATTTAAA